ACTTAAAGAACACGACAACTGGTGTATTCGCGATGATGAGACTTTATATTGTGTCGAGTTTGCGAATATGGGGCTGAAGCAGGAAAGCGGTGGAAAGTGATTAAACGAGTGGTGGATAGGGTCGAACTTCGACGTGCGCTAATATCTCGAGCAAACTTTGTGCCTTTGCATGGTTGGTTAAACGTGCAAACATTGACTGACGGTACCCATCCACACCTACTGTCAGTTCAGTGCAGTACAGCACCGCCGATAGAGTTGCGAATCTACATCACATTTTGTCCCATCAATCCCACATCAAAACATTCTTTTTTACTTTCCTATTTCAGATTATCCTGTATAGTCGAAATTTATATTCTTTTCTATTTTCCATTCTCTTCTTCATTCCTTCCTAATACCGATTTTTTCATCAAAAATACTTGCGCTGTAAAAATATAGTTACTAATTTAGTACCGAAATTATTGGTACAAATTTGGTACCACCATTGGTACTAATTTGGTACCACAATTGGTACTAATTTGGTACCAAAATTAGTAATAAATTAGTACCTTTCTTTTTAAGTCGTAATTTGGTTCTGTTTTATAACCGAAATCAGTTTCTAATTTAGAAAATTTGTAGTAGATGTTGGAAAAGACAATAATTATAATTGTACAACATCGATAGTTTTCATCATAGTAGCAATTGCGACAAAACTAAATAATCAGTACAGAACTTAATTACGTGTATAGGTATATATCATTTATAACCAGCACCCTGGACTTTGTTGCAAATGGATTGCAAGTCAAAGGGTAATTCCCAGAACTCAACGCAAATTCCCTAATTCGTTTACGGCTTATATACAAAACGATGAGTCTTCTGGGAGTAGTGGTAGGTACATTCAACTGGTTGCCAAACAGTTTTGGCTGGGTTTCGGACTCCCAGGGGGCTAATACCTATCAGCAGTTTGAGAAACCACCAAACGGGGTGCGTTTTAAATTCATCGCACTTAAATTAAATTCGCATTCGAGAAGTAGTAATTCAAAAATTCTGCAAATTCAATTTTATATAAAACAAAAGTTAATATTATCCTTTCGATTGTGTTTCTTAATGCGGTTAAAAATCAAATATTTTTTATCTAAGATTCGCACCCATTTTTCTGACTCTTTTGGATTTGTTTAAATTTTGGAAAAGATTAGGATTTCGAAAGTATTCGAAAAGAGTAGTAGTAAAGTATGGAATAGTAAAGAATAGTGAGTTATAGTAAAGAGTGTTCTACCATTTACTTTTTAGCACAATTTTTTAGTTTTCAAAAAAATTTTTTATCTTCATATATTTGACATATATATATAACAATTTTCGATATCGGAGAATCGCCCCAAATGTTTGGTGTGCTCGACGAATCCTAAAATGATCGGATAGGAGAAAAGCGATAGGTATATATAGAGGAGAAATAGAGAGAGAGAGAGAGAGAGAGAGTGAGTGAGTGAGTGAGAAGGGGAGAGGCGGGGAAGGAGAAGGCTTCGCCAAAGCAAATTATTCACACTCAAATGACTCCATTTCAATATCGGGCAGAGACCGGGGACAAAAGAAGGGTGAGATGTCTGTCTCCCTTCTGGGCTTGCATTTGCCATGTTGGCAGTGCCCAGCATTGCCACTGTCTGCAGCCTGCAGGCTTAACTCTCTTTCTCTCTCTCTCTCTTTCACTCTCTCCTTTTTTTTTATTCTCCTCCTTCTGATTGCTTTATATTTTTTTCTTATAACTTTACATTCACGTTTTCTTTTTTATCATGCGATGATTTAAAAGTCCAAGAGTCATTTGCGGGTATTTTTGTCAAGTCGGTAAAGTTCACCTGAAGTGGTCTTTATTAGAATATAGTGCGAAGTACTGCCATACAAATAAGTTTGAGAAAAAGGAAAGAAAAAACATTTTGGAACCTAAACGGTTCCAAACTGTTTTTTCTTTCCTTTTTCTGTTTTTATTTCTTTTTTCTTTTTCAAGCATCAAAAGTGATTGAAATCTGGCCTATTTTTATAAATTTAAAACTATAGGTCAAGGATTTTGTTTTAAAAGACTTATTTAACTTTGGGACTTTGAATAATACTCTCGAGGTTAAGATTCAGTCAAAAGTGGTTCTAGTCTAAAAGGTTTGAGTCAAAAATGGTTCTAGTCTAAACGGTCTTAGTAAAAAAAGGTTCTAGTCTAAACGGTTTTAGTCAAAAAAAGGTTCTAGTCTAAACGGTTTTGATAAAAAAAGGTTCTAGTCTAAACGGTTTTGATAAAAAATGGTTCTAGTCTAAACGGTTTGAGTCAAAAATGTTTCTAGTCTAAACGGTTTTAGTAAAAAATGGTTCTAAATGGTTCTAAGTCTAAAAACGGTTTTAGTCAGAACTGGACTGAAAGTAGGATTCATTCTTTATATCTAAAAACTATGTTAGGTCATAACTTTAGGACTTTTAAAATAATACTTTCGAGGCTTATTCGGACCATGAGTTAAGTAATAACTTTATTAGGACGAAAAATAATACTCATCTCAAGGCTAAGATTAGGTCAAAAATGCTTCTAATTCAAACGGTTTTAGTAAAAAACAGACCGAAAGCAAGATTTATTGTTTACAGTGAACGACGAAAAAAAAATTTAATTAAAAACGTAACAAGAAGAATACATGCGATAAGTTCCGGATGATGGTTTTATGGATGATATAATTTTTTCAGTAGGAGATAAGAGATCACTTTTTGATACAATTTGAGATTTTGGGTGAAATTTGTCGAGAATTTTCCTTGGTCTTTTGCCATTTATTTATTTATTTAGTATAGAATACCTGTGAGCATGGTAGTTCGAAGACTCGTAATTGAATATATTTAAGCGCGGGGGTCGGTTGTGCGGATTCACGACTTAGGAAGAGACCCCCTACTCGGTGGCGTCTGCGAGTAAACTGGATTAATCGTCTATGAAGGGAGGATGCTAACCCTACGCTGAATTTACTTATACAATCATCATTCTTTTCTGAATTCATTGTTTAAAAAAAACCTGGCTTTTTATTGAATTCAATGGATATTTAAAATCCAGCAATATACCATCAAACGCGTATTTACATGCCTTGAATATTATACGACTTTTTCAACTATTTTTCAACTATTTTCAACTATTTTCAACCATTTTCAATTTTTCAATTTTTCAATTTTATAAAATTTTAATTGTTTTTTAAAAAGAATTTACAAAATTTCAATTATTTTGAAAAGATTTTATCAAATTTCAATTATTTATAAAAGTGTGGAGTATTAGAAAACTAGCAACGAAAATCATAATATAGCAAATATATATATATACTATCACCTTCTATTTTCGGAAAACAACTAATTAGACTTTGATGATTAATGCTAGAAACCATCAGAAGGCAAATTTCTGTAATAGTTTTGTGTATTGTTGTTCGGATGCTGGTCAGATTGGGAGCGAATGAATTTATTAAACGTGAAATGTTTACGTCGCAAGACAATGACACGCGTTGGGAATCGTAAATTGAGTATAAATCGAGTTCGAAGGTACTCAAACGTATGGATGCATTCTCATTTATGACTCGGGGATCTAAAATTAAAATAACGTAATCGACTGCACAATTCACTTTCTCCTCGAGAATACTAAGTATTTTTATATATATATATACACCTCTTTTTCACTAAATATTCCGCAAATAGATTTCAAACAAATACTGTATAATAATACCAATACAAAATTATCACCTTAATAATAATAATTAGCACCTTCTTTAAACAGTTCTTTCTTCTTTTAATAGTTTTTATAACTTTTAGTATTGTAATGATTACTATAATATTACTAATTTACTACGTCACAGTTTTTCTAAGGATATCAATAAATTGAGACAAAAAACGCATCAAAATTGTTGCAACGCAACAATTTTGACGCATTTTTGGTCTCAATTTATTGATATCCTTTGATCTGTTATTTTAAGATCCGAAATCAGCTGAAATTTACCAATTTCTTTTTACGACGATAATAATAGAATAAAATTTATATTATATACTGTATAATAATACTGAAGTACAGTAGTTATATTTTATATATAAAGAAAAATGTTGAGATATTTTATTATACTCGTCGAGTGGAATAAAGCACAAGACAATGGGATTTGAAGAAGTACAAAATTATAATATTTGTACTCTCACTTTTTCTGCACAGACACACACACATACACACACACATTTCTCTTATCCATTATTGGAAAAAGAATTTATCCTCATTTGTGAAGAAAATCAGACTGATCAGTCAAGAGGAAGACAAACTTCTTTATACGCGCAAGAATCGATTCTGAATTCAATGAACAGTATATACTTGATTATAGACTTTTGTCGGAAATATGATTTTTAATAGAAAAAGGATTAAATACTTAGAGAGAGAGAGAGAGGGAGCATGGGAAAAATTACATTTTGCTTATTCCTTTATCAATTTACAACAGACGTGAGGGAAAATAAATTCTGAGAATAGCAGAGAAAATGGTAAATTTTTTATGATTGTCATAAAATTTTTACTTAATTTTTGATGATTATCATAAAATTTACTTAATTTTTTTATGATTCTCAAAAATTTACTTTGATTGTTTAAATAGTCGAAGTAGAAGAAGAAGCATAAGAAGAAAAAAAAGAAGTAAAAGCATTAAAAGAAGAAAAAAGAAGAAGAAGAAGAAAAAATATTAGAAAAAGAAAAATCAGAAGAACAAACACAAGAGAAAGAGAATTAAAAATAACGAAGAAATTGGTAAATTCTTGATAAACATTGAAAAAAGCAGAAGAACAGACATAAGAGGAAGTAAATTAAGAACATAAAAAAGGAATTTTTGATAAACAATGAAAGAAGAAAAAAGGCCCATTCCGGGAAGGGGCCGACGATTTTCGTGCGGTTTTTCAGAAGGTCAAATCAACGCCAAAAGCGAATGTAAAGAGACCGGACGATGAGCAAATAGCTGCCAAAGAGGATTCATTGCTTTTAAGAGGCCAATGTCATCCGTGAAGCATCAGGTTGGTTGGGGTGTTTAAACATGCAAAGCGCGCCTCCGCTCGAGGTGTATAAAAGCCGTGACTGGTCCCCAAATATCCAGTATCTTCAGAGCAATCGGCAAAACGATAGCGAAAACATGAGGGTAAATACAATTCGAATATTGTACTCTTACAATTAATCCAGACTATCTAGATGCTAACAGTTTCTATAGACAATTGTTAAGACTATTTTCTGTTAGAAATTGTTACTTTCTATTCAGTCTAGATTGATTTTTAAAGTTTTGTTTCGGTTATAGTTTTAGTTTCAGTTCTAGTATCATTATCAGTTTTGTTTTAGTTTCGGTTCTAGTATCATTATCAGTTTTGTTTTAGTTTCGGTTTCAGTTTTACACTGTAAAAAGAAAGTACTAATTTTGTTACTAAATCGTGCTCAGGATCTGTTTTTAATACCGGAATCAGTTCTTATTTAGCACTTTCTTTTTAGTGACAGTTTCAATTTTGGTTTTTGTTTTAACTCTACTTTTAATTTTAATTTTGGTTTCAGTTTTAATTTTAGCCTCGGTTCTAATTTTTGTTTTACTTTTTACTTCAATTGACACTCTTGATCAAGATCCTCAATATTATAACTATAAACATTCTGGTCTGGATCGAAGTCCCAATCCTAATAACAAATGTTTACTTTCTGTTTTCTTTCTGCAAATAGACGTTCCTGATTTCGAGTATTTTTGTGGTTTTGGTCGCGGCTGAGCCACCAGTGTATCGGCAAAGGTACTACGTGGCTCAACAGAGGGAAGAAGTCACCCAAAACCCATCCGCACCCTACGCTCCCTCAGGATGGAAACCTGACGGTCCTGCCTTCAACCTACCTCAGAGGCAACAAGTTCAAAACACCTATGGACCTCCTAAACAACAGTACGGACCACCCTCTGAACCTCAGAACCAGTACGGACCCCCTTCGGCTCCGGAAAATCAGTACGGACCACCTTCGGCTCCACAAAACCAATACGGAGCCCCTTCGGCTCCGCAAAACCAATACGGAGCTCCTTCGGCTCCACAAAACCAATACGGATCTCCTTCGGCTCCACAAAAGCAATATTTACCAGCCGCTGCTCCACAGAATCAGTACGGAGCCCCAAATGCTCCTCAGAATCAGTATGGAGCTCCAAATGCTCCACAAAATCAGTACGGAGCACCAAATGCTCCTCAAAATCAGTATGGAGCACCTTCGGCTCCTCAAAAGCAGTACAGACAACCGGCGGCACCTCAAACCCAATACGGAGTTGCAGCCGCAGCTCCACAACAACAATACGGTTCGCCGGTTGTTCCTCTGAATCCTTATATTACATCCGAACAACAATTTGCACCTCCACAAAGATTCAGAGCAGTATCGGCTGCCCAAAAGCAGTACAATGGGCCTCAACAAAAATACGGACCACCCGAGTACACCACGACTGAATTTCCAAATACCACGGACTTCGAAGAACCTACTACCGTGAAGGGCCTCACTGAATCCGAGGTAAGTCGCCAAACAAACTTTATTTTTGATTCAGTAAATTTTATTTAACGAACCTATAACTTTAACCTTAACTTAACCTAAACTAAACTTAACCTAAACTTAACTTAACCTTAATTTAATCTAAACTTAACTTAACTTATTAGTATTGATTATTTAGTATTGATGGTTGGTTAATTAATACCAAAAAGTTAACAAATCTCGACAGTTTGATATTGAACTTCCTTCAAGTACATTGACTCTATTTTAGGCGAAAGAAAATAAAAAAAACATAAGGCAAACAATCAGTATTCCTTGTGGCGAGAAATTACGTAAGTGCGACGAGTCAACAAAAAATAAATTCTCATCGAGTACTCCCAGATGCTCAAGGTCGAAAATAGTGTTTCTTTCTCCATTCAAAAACAGTTTAACCTACAGCACTCAATACCGTTAAATATTTCGCTCTTTTCTGCCAAGTTTCGACCCAAAGATTTTATGAGTGGAATCAACCGTTTCTTAAATCTTCTTTTCGGGTTTGTTTGCGCAATGTTTAAACGTCTCATTGAGACGCACTTTTATTCCCTCTCACGAATTTTAGTATTCAGAACGCTGTTTACTTTCGATTGCCACTTGAGCACGTGGCGTGTACCAAATTTTTGTTCTTTCTCCCAAGTCCCTGACACAGTGTCTCGAGAAATTGAAATTTTATCACTAATGACGTTAGTTATACTAATTATCACCTTTCTCTTATCACTTTTCTTCTATTTAGCTTTTCAATTTTTGGGAGTATTTTCGGTTTAGCCTCACTGCCTCAAGATAGCGTCAAATACTTGAAGCTAAAATTACTCGAAGCTTTTAACGACGAAAGTGTTACTAAATTCACTTCTTTATTCACCTAGGGAGTTAAAATCATTTCCAGAGTTGTTTTGAGCCTAAACACAACGTTAAATGTTACTAAATTCATCTCTTTATTCACCTAGGGAGTTAGAAACATTTCCAGAGTTGTTTTGAACCTAAACACAACGTTAAATGTTACTAAAATTTGGTTCCTTATTCACCTAGGGAGTTAGAAACATTTCCAGAGTTGTTTTGAACCTAAACACAACGTTAAATGTTACTAAATTCGTCTCTTTATTCACCTAGGGAGTTAAAAACATTTCCAGACTTTTTTTGAACCAAAAATCAACGTTAAATGTTACTAAATCCGTTTTTTTATTCACCTAGGGAGTTTTAAACATTTCCAGAGTTTTGTTTGAACCTAAAAACTTTGTTTTATTCCTTTCGGCTTCGAAAACAAATCTTGACGACGCTAATTCTTCAGGAACCGTTAAGGTTCCTGAAGAATTAACGTCGTCAAGTTTTGTTTTCCGAACGAACGACCCGAGGGTTTCTTAAAGAATTAGCGTCAAAAATTGATGAAATCACAATTTTGTTCTGTCAAAAATTGGGAGATAAAATAAAGAAACACATTATTTTCAGTCTGAACCAGTGAATTCGGTGAACGAATTGGGTGAAGATGGTGAAATCGACGAGCAACAGAAGAAATCTGGCCAGTACTTCGTTGCCCTTCCTGACGGACGACTTCAGCGCGTTCGTTATGTCAGTCGAGAGGACGTCGAAGCAATGAAGTACTTTGCTAAAATTCGTGCGGAAAATGTGGAACCACTTCGTGGACCAATCTATTCTTATGCGCCTCTTCAAAAATTACAAGTCTCACCATCAGGCTCGAAACTCGATGTATCAGTGTCGTCACCACTTCCACTCGAAGTCTCCAGACCCGAGAGGCTATTAGCACCAAAAGTCGAAATCCAACCCCTCGCTCAAGTTCAATATCAATTAGACAGTCCCGGAAGTGTCATCCCTCTCAGCTCTTCGTTCAGTACCTACACTGCCAACTATCAGGTGCCCGCACCTTCTGAGCAAAAATTCATCATTTCTGTCTAAGCTAAGCTTTTAGCTTTATAGATTTTAATTTTTAAAAAAATAAATGGAAATATAAAAAATAGGTTGAGCCTATTCTTGTAAATGTGTAAAAAACTAATTTATGATCGTTAATAAAACTAAGACTAAAATGCAATTTTTTGTGGATACTGTGATTTTTTCGACCTCTTAAGCCTAAAACTAAATACTTTCAATAAGTAACTGCGAAAATGATCTTTAAGGGGATGTCAAAGGACTATTTTTGCGTCCTAAGGTCGATTCGAGATCTGAGGAGTAAATGAAGATATAAATACTTTTTACCTGTAAAACATTTAAAGTTACACGTTGAAAGTCATTAATTTAATAATTTCTCGACAAGAGCTCAGAGAATATTCGAATATCGCAGAATCTTGCAGCAAATTTTCCAACAACTCCCTAGATTCGCAGGATTCACTCGAAAGGAATACCGCTTCCTTCTAATAAGTACCCGAGCGTAACTCACTTTCCTCGTTTCAATATTCTCGGTCCGCAATATGCAGAAATTCACCTGAATCATAAGCATATCGAATATAATAATATATGCATATAAGCAACGTGCAAAAATTGCTCTTATGCTTTTTTCTTTAGATAAGAATCTCTTTGTTATCACATTAGGAATTATTACCATATTAGGGGTACGCAACATATCAAATGTAATTCTATACGCACATTTTACAATATGTAACTCTATACATTTTCTGCATTTTGTTAAGTTCTATAAAATTTACATTTTGTATAAATTCTATTTGTAAATGCGTCTCGAATATAAATATTCGCCTTTTAATACCCATTATGTGAATTTTTTTTTAATCAACTATATATATATATAATATAATGAATCCATCTTCTGGTTGAAACCAGGTAGAAGTAATTCACTGCACTCTTCAACTTGATAATATAAATTAAATTTTTTACGCGGATAATATCCTCTGTGAGCTGTTACACGATTTTTCTATTATGGACTCTTCTTTTTTTTCCCCTCGTTAAGAAGATAATACTAACAATCGGATTATTTGCAAAAATTAATTGTCCTCTGCAATTTATCGCGCGCAGTTAAAAAATAAAGAATCCTCTTTTGAATGAAAATTGATTCTTTCTATATACTTGTTTGCGTTGTTTATGAATTTTTGTTGTTCCACTCTCAAGAATCTATTAATTGGATTTTAAATAAACAATATTCAAGCTATCTTTAGTCTCACAGTTTTTCTATAATAATATCAAATTGAGACAAAAAACAAATTAAAATTCTTGACTTGCAATAATTTTAATTTGTTTTTTGATCCTAATAATGATCTTAGTAAAATGGATCTTAAAAAAATTGAGAATTAATAATTGTAATTACACTGAGAAAAACAATATTGTCCAATAGCGCCAATGATAATGAATTTAATTTTGGTGAAAGAATAATTTCTGTATTGAATTAAGAAAATATGTATTAAAATATAATAATTCATAATTTAAAAGTAGAAGCATTGGACAGTCCAATAAAATATGTAAAATGATTTAGTTTCCTAACATTTTTAATAATTTTTCATTCTAAATATTTTCAATTTTAAAATTAATGTATTAAAAACCGCATCGAATTGTTGCAAAGAATTTTATAAAAAAAAAAATTGATAATAATAGAATTATTATGAATTATTTTGGAAAATAATTCAATTCTCATGAAGAATTTTGTTAAAATTTTTTTTAAATAATGATTTCTTTAAATAATTTTAATTAAAAATTTTGTAAATAATTGAATTTTATATGAACAATTTCTTTCAAGTTTTTAAAATAATCGCGTATGTTAAAAAATAAAATTAAACATTTAATTATTGAATTTTATTAAAATTTTAGAAATTAATTCTATTCTTTTGAAAAATTTTATAACGAATTAAGAAAAAAATTGAATTCTTCCTTTCGTGGAATTATTTTTAATATTAATGAATTTTTGTTCAGAATTTTACTGTATTTATAAATATAATTGAATTATTCGAAGGATTTAACAAAATTTTAGAAAAAAATTGACTTTTTGCAAAAAATAATTGTACTAATTTTATAAATAATTGAATTGTTCAGAAGAATTTATTAAAAATTTAGAAACTATGATTGAATTCTGTTAAAAAAATGTTGTAACTAATTAAGAAAAATATTGAATTCTTTTGTGGAATTTTATTAAAAATAATTGAATTTTTGCAAATATTTTACAATTTTAAAAAATAATTAAATTATTTTCAAGGATTTATTAAAATTTTATAAAATAATTGAATTTTTACGAGAAATTTTATTATTTACGAGAATAATTTAATTTTTGCGTCGAATTTTATTAAAATTTTGAAAATAATTGAATTCCTCGGAAGAATTTTTTTATTTACTAAAATAATTCAATTCTCGGGGAAAGTTTTACTAAAATTTTTGAAAATAATTGAATTTTTACAAGGAATTTTATTATTTTTGAAAATGATTGGATTTTTGCGACAAATTTTATTAAAATTTTGAAAATAATTGAATTCTTGCGACTAATTTTTTTATTTACTAAAATAATTTAATTTACGGGAAATTTTCTACAAAAATTGTAGATAATAATTGAATTTTCACAAAGAATTTGACTATTTATGAAAATAATTGATTTCATGCGACGAATTTTATTAAAATTTTGAAAATAATTGCAATCCTATGAAGAATTCTTTTATATACTAAAATAATTGAATTCTCGGGAAAATTTTTACTAAAATTTTTGAAAATAATTGAATTTTTACAAGGAATTTTATTATTTTTGAAAATGATTGGATTTTTGCGACAAATTTTATTAAAATTTTGAAAATAATTGAATTCTTGCGACTAATTTTTTTATTTACTAAAATAATTTAATTTATGGAAAATTTTCTACAAAAATTGTAGATAATAATTGAATTTTCACAAAGAATTTTATTATTTATGGAAATAATAGAATTCATGCGACGATTTTATTAAAATTTTGATAATAATTGAGTTTCTTTGAAGAATTTTTTTATTTACTAAGATAATTGAATTCTCGGGAAAAATTTTACTAAAATTTTTGAAAATAATTGAATTTTTTCGACCAATTTTATTAAAATTTTGAAAATAATTGAATTTTGGAGAAAAATTTTATAATTTTTCAAAATAATTGAAATTTTGACGAAAATTAAAAAAAAATTATGAAAATAATTGAAATTTTGACAAGAATTTTATTAAAATTTTTGAAAATAATTGAAATTTTATAAAGAATTTTATTAAAATTTTTGAAATTAATTGAATTTTGGAGAAGAATTTTATTAAAATTTTTGAAAATAATTGAATTTTGAAGAAGAATTTTATAATTTTTCAAGATAATTGAAATTTTGACGAAAATTAAAAAAAAATTATGAAAATAATTGAAATTTTGACAAGAATTTTATTAAAATTTTTGAAAATAATTGAAATTTTATAAAGAATTTTATTAAAATTTTTGAAATTAATTGAATTTTGGAGAAGAATTTTATTAAAATTTTTGAAAATAATTGAATTTTGAAGAAGAATTTTATAATTTTTCAAGATAATTGAAATTTTGACGAAAATTAAAAAAACATTATGAAAATAATTGAAATTTTGACAAGAATTTTATTAAAATTTTTGAAATTAATTGAATTTTGGAGAAGAATTTTATTCAAATTTTTTTGAAAATAATTGAATTTTGGAGAAGAATTTTATTATTCTTCAAGATAATTGAAATTTTGACGAACATTTTTACAAAATTATGGAGAATTTTTTTATTTACAAAAATAATTGAGTTTTCGAGAAAAGTTTTACTAAAATTTTAGAAAATAATTAAATTTTCATAAGGAATTTTATTATTTATAGAAATAATTGAATTCTTGCGAATTATTCAAAAAATCATATTTGAAAATAAAGTGATAAAAATAGTCTAAAGAATAGCTTTATAAAATATAATGTAATTAGGTTTTTAAACATTTTTTGAAAAATGAATTTTCTCTCTCACAAGCGGTATTAATTTCATCATTTATAAGGGAATTGAAGTCAATATCATTTGAATATTATATTTGTTTACTTCTTATCTTATCCTCGCTGATAATCATAAAAGATCATTATACGTTTAAAATAAAAAATAAAAAAAAACCCTAAAGACACTTTTCGGAAAATTAAAATTTACAACATCGAAGATCGGGGGTGCGAACTGAAACAGCGCAATCTAAGATTATAGATTCTCGTGAACTCGTAGAAACTTTGTTCTCAAAACTGTAGTCGGACAATATATAAAGGACGGAGCAAAGGAAGCTTGGAAATGGGAACCGCTTCTCAAAGTTTGAGTCTGAGACCGTTTGAAGAAGAGTTACAAGTTTTGGGTGTTAGTCAAATCTATACATCTATATACACGTATATATAGATCTATAGATGTATATTGAGAGAGAGAGAGAGGGAGAATTTGGAAACTGGTCAGTGTCGATTTAATTGATTTGCCAGCGCGTTTTCCACTGCTTGACCAGATTTAATTACACCGGTTGATCGAGTCGATTGATCAGTACCGCAAAATCCTCAGCGCACACACATGCGGACCAATTTTTTAATTTGATGCGCAAGTATAAAAAGTTGTATATACAATTTTAATTTGAATTGTTTTACTCGCATCGATGACGCGATATATATATATATATGTGTGTATAATTTGGGTTTTACCTCGCAAAGGTTTTGGAACTTAGGGGAATATACAGATAACTTATGAAACAGCCTGCCGGGGGCAGGGGGAAGGGGGGGGGTGAGCTCGATATTAAATTTCTGGAATTTTGCGGTGAGCGCGTCTATACTATCACACAAGCGGGTCTTGTAAAGTGTCTACGTCTATATGTTGCCGTTCATATTTCTATCCAATATTCTATTTAGCGAGAGCTTCAAATATTTAATCTATATACGCATCTAAATTGATCTAACTTGTTTTTTTGTATCTTCACACACGAATTTATACTGAAAACCTACTATTTTACTGATTTTTTTACGATTTAATACAATTTGGATACGTTTCTTAGATTTGCGACACTAAAATCTACTTTCTTTGAGATTTGCACTACTTTTAATGCGCTAAAAGTTGAAAACAAAAAAATTATTCTACAAATTTTAATA